CAGTTTTCATCCACAGCCCAAATCCAATGTCAAATATATTAGATTTTTTATTTGAGCACCTATTTCTGTATCAATTATTTATTGTGTGATGAATCACTTTTATCTCAATGTCTTAAGACAACATTTATTTAGCTCTTGACTAAGCTGGTCACTCAGACTGGATTTGGCTAGGCTGGGCAGTCCTCCTGGCCTTCTCTGGGCTCACTCACTTTGGGGAAAGTTGCCGTGTGGTTGATCCTGGATGACTTTGGTTACTTATGCTAGTTAAGGCACAAAATTTTCATGACAAGGAAAGGACAAAGTTAGAGCAATCCCAATTGCATACATGCTTTTCAAAGTCCTCTTTACATCAAGTTTGTGATAAACCTGTTGGCTGAAGCAAGTCACATAGCAGAGTCCAGAATCAGAGTGGAATGGCAGAACAAACTTCCATGGCATGGTTATGGTTGACCAGACAAGTGAAGATTCAGGCTATTTTTCTGCAACCAATCACAGAGATCAATGTTATATTTGCTCCACAGAAATAATCTAGTATTTCTTCTTTTTCAGTGTTCCGGAACAGGTATGTAGCACTGGAATTAACTGCTCGCGAAGATCTGCCCAGCATTCGCCCTAGTCTGGTGCTTTTTTTATGGGTGATTTCTTTGGTAATCTTTTATTTCCTTCATGAAAATATTTAACTTTCCCATCTATTGGAATCACTTTAGTAAATTATATTTTCCTAGGTTCATTTAGTTTGTTTTCAAGTTTATTTGCATAGTTAAACAAAATAGTCCTTATGATTAATTTTTCCTGATTTAATGTTAATTTTCTCACTATTTTTTCTGTGTATTTCTGCTTCTTTCCCTTTTTACTTGATTACCTAGTGGTTTGTTTTAATTGCTTTTAAATAATCAAAATAGTAATCATTCTTTTTTTCCAGACTTATTTATGTGTGTTCTTTTCCATTCTTTCCCTTTTTAAAATTTGGTTATCCTTTTTTATATTCCTTTTTGGATATGAATTCATTTGACTTTCATTCTTTCACCAATGTTCTAGCATTAAAGGGTCAGGATCGAGATTCTGTAAAATCCTGTAACTCCCAAGAAAGCTTTAAGCTGCTTTATGGTATGGGGGAGTGGGAAATGGAGGATTGGGTAGATTTGTTTATGACTAAGGGAGTAGGCCTGTCTCTAAACCCTTGTGGTAATAAGTTAGTTGCTGTGAAGGACTTGTGGGATCTTCAAAGGCAAAGGGGCTGACTGTCAGGATTTAGGTTAAATCTAACACTTTTGGATAAAAGAGAGCTTTAGCTCATCATTTTACATAAACTGACATTTTTAACTTTGTAAATGTTTGTATCATATTTAGATATAGGCACAACACAGTTACAAGGTGCTTATTTAAGAGACCTTTGCACGAGCAAATATGTAAATGAACTCTGATTTAGTAGTACTTAAAGCTTGACAAGATCAACAGAAAACCCAAGGAATTTCTTTGATAAAATATTTTTATATAACAGTTTTTTGTAGATGTTACTCAGAGCAGAACAGTATTAAGATACCCTTGTTATTTTATGGACATAGAGAATTAGATTTTAGTTTGCTATGACCCCAAAAAATCTTTTAGGCAACTCTTAGATTATAGTCAATTTTAACTTTATCACTTTGTAACTTGTATTTTAAAATAACTTTTATAAGAATTTTAAATTTAAATTTAAATAAAATTGTTTTTTTATTAGCCTTATTTTTATTATATAGACTTATATAGAAAAGCAATTTTAAATTGTTTTCACACAATAAGTAACCTATAAAGACACCATTTGTTAATAGATATAAAAACATACTTATATCTATTATATACACATATTTATAAGTATAATAGATATAATAATAAAGGAATTGAATGTAAATTACTTATGATGAAATTAAACAGACTAAAGTTACTGTCCATAAAATGCCTATAATTTAGTTAGACCTGATTGACATAACCTTTAAAAAACTGGTTTTTCTTAAAAGTAGCAGCAGAAGAGGTAGGGGAAGAGAAGAGAACAGAAGCCTTGTATTTTTTTACAGTAATTTTATAATAACAATCATCCTAAAGATGTTTAAATATATATGTGTAAAAAAGTTTTAAATTAGGCATGCCATAAATGTCAATTTAAGCACACATTGACTCAAGAGCTCAAGAACATATAAAAATTAACTAAGTGGCCACAAGTACATTGATAAGTTATTTTTTAAAAACTTTTAGGAGTAGATTGAGAAGTGTCCCATTTTTTTTTTTTTTTTTTTAGGACTCATTTTGAGTGGATAGCTGAAGTAAGAGTCAATTTTAGGAATAGTGTTTTGAGTCAGTCTCAGTTTTTAATAAGACTGTTATCATAGCTATTAGATTTTTTTTGTCTCTAATAAGTTAATCATATAGATATACACAAAACTTACACAATGAGACACAAAACAATTATAACAATTTCAAGTGTACTCTTGAACATAAGACAAAAACATTTAAGCTGACTTTAAAACACTTTACAACCTCTATTACACAATATTGAACATAAAATTTCTGTAAAGAGAGCCTGCTCCTTACTTACTTGCTGGCCCATTTCTCTCTTGATGTTGCTTGGTATCCTTGAATTGAAACTAAAATTATGTTTGTGCACACCTCTGGAGCCTTCCTTACCTTAAGCCTTTGTTCAGGTCCCTGTTCGGGCGCCACCTGCCAGGATCACAGAGGTCCTTGACCTGAAAGGGCTCAGGGCAGGAATGAACAAGACAAGACAAGACACATATGGAGAGGGCCAGCAGGCTGATGACCAACTGGCAAAATTTTATTTTTCTCAGCCAGCTTTATACAAAAGAGGAAGAGACTTAAACATCAAAATCACTCTGACCTAGTTACAACCTTTCTGTTTTCCACCCTGCATTCTTACTGCCAGTGTCCTTGACTAAGTATAAACTTCTCTATACCTTGTCAAACCATGTGCCATTTACACTACTCTTTTCTCTTATCTCTACTTGTATTTTGGTCTCAGATCTACAAATAAAGATATTCAATGCTCATCTTATTGTTTTGCTCAGGTTTCCCCAATTATCTCCTAGGTGGATGACAGTTTTCTTCCTATAACATTTCCTGAGCTCCAGCATAATGAAAACTTTTCTATATCCTTGATACTTAAAGCAGTTTAGCTAGACACAAAATCCATACTATCTTTTAGTTTCTTGAAAATATTGTTCCATTGCTATTTTGCTTTGTTGAGAAGTCTGACAATAATCTGATCTTTCTTTTGTAAGAGATTAGATCTCTTGGCTTACAGAATTTTACTTTACCTTCAAAGTATAGTATTTTGTTAGAATATGTCAGAGTTTATCATTATGGGCCAGTTTTCTAAGCATCAGGGTTGATCCTTTCAAAAGACAGTTTCAGGGACTGGGAATGTAGGTAGAACACTTGCCCAACAAGCACAAGGCATGGGTTTGAGCCCTAGCATGGCAAACAGAGAAATAAAATAAGATAAAGTTTCAGGTCTTTTTTTTTCCTTCAGAAATTTATTTTGAGTAGTTTTAAATTTAACACTGTTCCTTTGTCTTCAAGAGCTCCAATTTTACCCATACTGTCTTTTCTCTGTGTATCTTCGTCTCATTCCTTCTCTTAGTGTGCTTTGCTGTACTATATGTCTAGCCATACCTATTTCCACTTGGATATGTTGTAACTTAGTCTTCCTATCTGTCATGATTCACCTTTTTGTTCATGATTCTGGTATGTTCTCTTTTCACATATGCTTGCTACTTTTTCATTTTGAGTCTGCTTTTAAATTTCTAATCTGTAGTGTTCATTCAAATCCACAATTATTTGTTTAATTTATTAAAAAATTTATGTTAGAATGTTGTGTTATAGTTTACTACTTCATGGCCCAAGACAGCTCTTTTCTGTTGGTCAATGATGTTAAATTTCTTTAGCAAGTACTGTATAGGTGCTGAAAGGGGAAAGTGTGTGGGTTTTTTTTTTCTGAATCTTGAACTTACTTTTTGTATCCAATGGCTGCTGTTCAATCTTTTGCTTCCTGCTTGCTCTTTCCTCTTTTACCCACCCAGCCTCCGAGGGACACCACTCCCTTTCAGGCTGGCTTCATCTCTAGCAGAAGTGATATTCTCACTAAGTCCCACTCATGGTCTAAGTACCTTCCTTGTGATTTCCCACCAGCCACTGCTTTGACCACAGAGTCTCAGACCTGTCTGCAGCATCCTACCCTGCATGAGACTACAGGTAGTCTGCTTTAACTACAGTTCCAAGTTCAGTGAGGGCCTGCGGCAGAAGAAAAATATGGAAGATTTTGCAGGAGTAAGATCACAAAGGACTTTCTATGGAAACTCTGTAAAAATTTGAGCAAGGAATTGAGAAATTTATAAAGTAAAAAAGGAAGGAAAAAGGAGCTCATCATCTATACAAATACAGGTGGACAACTGAAAGTAAGAATCATAACTTCTCAAGTGATGAAAAGTGCTCCAAAACAAAAATGAAATTCAGAATTTGGAAAAGTCTCCTAGAGAAATGACACAATTGCATCAACAAGTGAACTGCAAGAAGACAGGAGAGCCCTATACTGTCGCCTGGGAGACAGCCCAGCCAAGTGGTTCATGAGCCCGAGTCAGGCAGCTGGTGGGCAGAGCTGAGGGAGGGCACATCCACCAGGCCTGTGAGGGCTTTTTTGGGGTGGGTGGTGGTGAGTTACTCTAGGTGGGTGTGAGAAGGGAGGAGTGATAGAGGAGAAAGGGAAGTCAGGAGATAAGAGCATGCAGGAGGGAGGAGCCTGGCCAGACAGGAAGGTGCCTTGGGAGGGCACCTCACACAGTGCAGTGAGTATGGCAGAAACTGCTGGGAAGGCCAGGGTATAGGACAGATATAGATGGGAGGTCTGGGTAGATAGATGGCAGGGTCAAGGTATGGCGTAGGGTGACTGTGGGTCAGAGCTCAAGGAAGAGTGACCAGAGAGTCAGGACTGAGGCAGAGACTAGGAAAGGGTGTTGTTTTCCCCATTCTGCTAATTTAGGTCCTGAGATTAGCTTTCATTCTGTCTTTGAAAAGAGAAAAGGCATAATTTTTAGTGCCACATCCCAGAGTTTGTGTTATCCTGCCTCCTGGGACACAGGGGAGGAGAGATGCTCTCATGCCCTGGAATACAGGCAGCCTACATATCTTCATGGAAAAGTGCAGAGGCAGCCTCAGGATGGTCCTGGACAGGGCAGGAGCCCTCTGAGGGGTTGCTTGGATCAGGGAAGAAGATGCCTGCTGTTGAGGGCACATCCGAATAGGATCTGAAAGTCTGGGGCAGCAGGAGCAACAGGGGTGCCTGGGTGCAGAATTCATCCTACAGGCCCCCGAGTCTGGGACAAGATTCTCTGTTCAAGTTTGGCGTACCGGGGGAGGAGGGCCTCGTAGACCTGGAGGGGCAGAAACGGCAGTTTATAATGCTTCTTTAACAGCAGTTTATAGTGCAACTTAAATTTTTTTTTTTCTTTTTTAGGTTTTTCGAGACAATGTCTCACTTATGGTGTACAGCTGGCCTCAAACTCATGATACTTTCACCTCAGCCTTCCAAGTGCTGGGATTACATCACAGGCTAGAGGTGTGGCTCAAGTGGTAAAACAACTCTTTGCAAGTGCAAAGCTCTGAATGCAAACCCTAGTCCCACACACAAAAAAATTAGAATCCCACTTACTTGTAATTTGACTTTTTTCTTGGGCAAAGGAAAGGAAGTATTAATTCACAAAAGAGAAATGCTAAGAGTTCTCAAACTAATAGTTTAAGATTTTTTTTATACTTTCTTTTTATTTATTTTTATTTTACTTTTTTGGGTGGCACTGGAGTTTGAACTCAGGGCCTCACTTTTGCTAGGCAGGTAACTCTTACCACTTAAGCCACTCCGCCAGCCCAGTTTAAGATTTTTTAAAACTGTAAATTATGACAAATCAATTTTTGTTATCATTGTCTACAAAAGTTAAAAAATTCTGGTGTAGGGGGAGGGTTAATGAAGGAGATTAAGGTGACAGTACGTGGTAGATGGACTCCATATATATGAAACAGAACTAAGAAACCTCTTGCAACCAGGCGCTGGTGGCTCACACTTGTAATCCTAGCTACTCAGGATGCAGAGATCAGGAGCATCGTGGTTCAAAGCCAGTCTGGGCAAACAGTCGTGAGACTCTATTTCAAGAAATCCCTCACAAAAATAGGGCTGGTAGTGTGGCTCAAGGTGAAGGCCCTGAGATCAAGCCCCAGTACCAGAAAAACAGAAACAAAAAAATACCAAACCTCTTGCAATTGCTTTAAGAGGGGCAGGGAGGGGGTTGAGGGGGAGAGATGATGGGGGCAATGTAAATAATGTACAATATAAGACTAATCAGAATCGTCACTGTGAATTCCCTGCCCATATAACAAATATATCCTAATAAAATTTATACAAAAAATTTGGTGAGGATACTTTAGAATGGCTATCCACTACACAGATGGTGAAAGGTGGTATGGTACAACCCTTTTGGAAGTCAACCTGACTTTGTTCCTATTGGGGTACATAGCCTGCATCCTAGTTCTTCTACTTCTGTGAGGCTCTCCTCCTAAGGAAACAATCCTAAAATGCAGGGCCCAAGTCCCTCAGAGGTCTTCCTAGACACCACTAGACATTCGGACTCGTAAGACTGCTATGGACCACACTGCGGCACTCAGAAGAGTACACGGAGATGAGCATGTTGGTACATGCCTGTAATGCCAGCACTTACGAGGCTGGAGCAGGTAGATGGTGAGTTTGAGATCAGCCTAGGCTACATAATGAGTTCCAGGCCAGCCTGGGCCACACAGGGAGTCCCTGTCTCAAACAACAACAACAAAATAAGAAGAGTAGACTGCAGAAATCTCTGCCCACACTATTCTTTAATGGGAGACAACAGAACAGCTTCCTCCCCCTTTCCTTCCACATTATAGCTCAGGTATCCTCTGATTCCTGCCTGTGAACATGGTTGTGTGAAAACATGGTACTTAGAGCAGTTGCAAACATCCTGCAACTAACCATACACAGCACATCTAGAGCTGCACCATCCAGTAAAGCAGCCACAAGCCATGTGCACCTTTGCATACTTGAAACATGCCTAGAGCTGTGGGTGTAAAATGCACACCGGCCAAGCACCAATGGCTCATACCTGTCATCTTAGCTACTTGGGAGGCAGAGATCGGGGAGGACTACAGTTAGAGGCCAGCCCAGGCAAAAAGTTTGTAAGACCCCATCTCAAACAATGGCTCGGTGATGTGGTACATGCCTGTCATCCCCAGTTATGCAGGGAAGCACAAATAGGAGAATCATGGTCCAGGATAGCCCAGGCATAACGTGAGACCCTATCTCAAAAATAACCAACAGGAAATGGGCTTGGTGGAGTGGCTCAAGTGGTACAGCACCTGCCTAGCAAGCATGAGGCCTCAAGTTCAACCCTCAGAACCACCAAAAAAAAAAAGGAAAAGAACACCAAATTTCAAAAGCTTTAAGCAAAAAAAAAAAAAAAAAGTGAAATAACGCATTAGCAATTTTTCTAATTGGCTATATGTTAAAATAATATTTTGGGTATATTGGATTAAATAAAATATACTGTTAAAGTTCAAAAAAGTAAAATGAAACAAAAAAATGATAGACATGGCTCACGTTGGGATCTCCTTGCCCATTGCTGACACGGGGAACTCCAGGGACATGACCCAGAGCCCTGAGGTTGAACCACCAAACCAGCACTACCTTCAGACTTCTGTGAGCTCCAGCTCACAGATTATAATCGGGCTTCTTTTGTTACATTTTCAAAAAGTAGGATTTCTCCTTTTAGTTGAGCACATCAAATTTAATGTAGGTGACAAACAGAACCTTACGTTTCTAGAGAAAAAGCCCAAACCAGCTTTCACCAAACAAATGCCACGAGAAAACCTGATGATCTCTCACCTGAGAAGCTCCTGGGCTTGGGGTGGCAGCCAGCCTGGGATCTGGGGCTAACTTCACAACCTCTGAAAATGGTACATCTGTCCCACCTGCAAGGCCTAGAAGGGAAAGGTCATTTCATACCTGTGCTCACTGCAAATGAAGAAGTTAACTGCAAATGAAGAAGTTACCTGGGTGGTAGAATGTTCTAAAACCAGGACTGGGAGTGTAAATCAGTGGCACTATGCATGCTAAGAGGCCCTGGTTTCAATCCCAAGCACCAAAATAGAAACAGAAACAAAAATGTTCTAAAACTGGATTATGGTAATGGCTGTACAACTCAGCAAATTTACAAAAACTCACTGATAACTCAACAAGTTTACTTGAACTGGGTGACTTTTCTGTCATATACTTTGTATTTTAATAAAATTATTTAGGAAGACAGGAAAAATTCAGGCACAGGCCTCTCTTTAGCAGAGGCCTCTCCTCCCTCACATTGCTTCTGGCTCTATTGCTCACTATATTCTGGCTACCCTAGTCTTCATAATTTCTTTTTCTTTCTTTTTTTTAAGTTAATTTATTTATTTTTGGTGGTACCTGGGTTCAAACTCAGGGCCTTGCACTTGCCAGACAGATGCTCTACCACTTAAACCACACACCCCCCCTATTTTTCAAGTAGGGTCTCACACTTATGCTTGGGCTGGCCTAGACTCTGACTTATGCTTCCTAGATAGCTAGGATGACAGGCACATACCACTGCACACAGCTTTTTATTGGCTGAGATGGGGTCTCACTAACTTTTTTCAGGGGTTGGCTTAGAACCATGATCCTCCTGAGTAGCTGAGATTTCAGGCATGAGCCCTGACTACACCCTGGTCTTCTTTCAATGTGTTCTGCTTCAGAACCTCTTCACTGTGAGGAATATTCCTTTCCCTCTTCCCTCACCTATTTCCTTCACCTTGGATAAACTGCAGCTAAGAACACCAGTAGTTCAGGAGCCCCTCCCTCACACTGCAGCTCTATTCACCACCTGCTTTTCCTCAAGCCCTTTTCACAGTTTGTGACCATACATATATTCGGGAGGTTCTTTTTTGTTTTGATGGTGCTGGGAATGGACCCCAGGGCCTCCTGCATACTAGGCAGGTGAGGTATACCCAGCCTTGAGTGATTCTATATTCAAGGACCCTCCTTTGCAGAGCTGTAAACTCCATGAGGCCAGAGCCTCTCTGGTCACCACCACAGCCCTGAAGCCAAGCAGACTGCCTGGTATACAGAAAACACTCAACAATTACTCACCAAGCAAACAAGTAACAGACTGGAAAATAGGGAAGGTTGCCATAGGTGGGCAAGAAACAATGAAGAATTCCTAGACAACTTAAGCAGGAGTATCAGACTAAGAACTGCACCAGGACCCAGAGAGAACTAAGAGCCATCCCCTCCAACCCCCTACCCAGGACATGAATTTTCCTGTAAGGATGCTAGAAAATCCCAGCTCAGAGTGTATGGAGGCAGGAGTGCAGGGGTGGTGGGGTAGCCAGCTCTGGTCCAATATCCATACACATTCACATGTGAGGTTCATTCCCAGATCAGTAGAGAAGAAAAGAGCTCCAAACAGAGTGGCTAACAGGACTCAGGATAGGGGTTGGTGAGCTAGGTGTTAGCTTAGGCTTTGGTTTTGGAGGGCACAACAGGGCAGTACCCCAAGTATCCTTTCTCAACCAAATAAACACAAAGGAAAACAAAACAAAACAAAACCCAAAATGTAATGCAGCAGCACGGCAGTGCAGTCCTAAAGGGTAACTCCTCCCCACTTCTGCAGAAATAGGACTATGATAATAACCCCAGATTCTCACCAGCTACCCCAAAGGCCAGCATTTTCAAAAAAAAAAGCCACTGTATGAGGCTCCTGCTTGAGGCCAACCCAGGCAAATAGTTTAAGGGCTGGTGGTGGCTCAAGTGTAGAGCATTTACCTAGCAAGTGTGAGTTCCTGAGTTCAAACCCAAGTACTGCCAAAAAAAAAAAAAAGGCCAGCATTTTCACAGTTCTCAGGAAAAATATTACGAACTCCAAGTCCTTTCCTTTGGATGGTGAAACCAAGACCTTATTGGGTATGTCAGGCCTCAAAGCTGAATTCTCTCTTAAACAGAGGGCTCAGTGGTAGAGCACTTGCCTAGCATGTGTGAGCTGAGGCTTGATCCCCAGCACTGAAAAAAAAAAAAAAGAAGAAGCCAATAAAAACCAGCATAGAGGGCTGGGGCTGTAGCTCAGTGGTAGAGCATTTTCAGGGCATGTATAAAGTCCTGGGTTTGATCTCTAACACCAAAACAAAAATGAGCATAGAAACAAAGGAGGAAGAACCACAGGGAGTTGAAGAAAAAAAGAAAGAAAGAAAGCAAAAGCACAATTTTAAGTATAAATAAAAGGCAATGTAATGTAAAACATAGCTAAAAGCATAATGATAAGTTCCCCAGTGACAATGGTTCAGGAGTGACATGAAGTGAGGTGGTATGGATGAGGTAGAAGGAAGGGGAATAAAAGAGATTAATTCTTTTCTTCCACTTTTTTTTGTGGCAGTAGTGGGGTTTGAACTCAGGTCCCTGTGCTTGCTAGGCAGGAGCTCTACCACTTGAGCCACACCTCAGGCCCTTTTTGCTTACATTATTTTTCAGATAGTGTCTTGTGTTTTTAGCCTAGGGTCAGCTTCAGCCCACAATTCCCCACCTATACCTCCTACAATTACAAGTGTGTACTACTATATCCAGCTTGTTGGGATGGGGGTCTGGCTAACCTTTTGACAGGCCTAGCTTTGAACAGTGAGAAGCTCAATCTCTACCTCATAAGTAGGTGGGATTATAGACATACAACATTATATCAGGCCCTAAGCAGATAGTTCATTTTTTTTTTTTTTTGTTTTGGTGGGATTAGGGCTTGAATTCAGAGCTTTGTGCTTGCAAAATGCTCTATCACTTTGTCATACCTCCAGTTCATTTTTACTTTGGTAATTTTGAAGATGAGCTCTTGTGAACTATTTGCCTGGGCTGTCCTCAAATCTCGATCCTCCCAATCTCAGCTTCCCAATTAGCTATGATTACAGGTATGAGCCACCAGCACCCAGCTCCAAGAGTTTTTGTGTTTTTAATTTCTGTAGTACTGGGGTTTGAACTCAGGGCCTCATGCTTGCTAGGCAGACGCTCTACTACTTGAGCCACTCCACCAGTCCATCAAGAGATTAATTCTTAAGAAAAGTACATGTTCTTTATTCATGTTCAACATTGAAAGAAAAATTAAGTTTAAATAATTGTGTTGAGAAGTTAAGGGGAAGCAGGCAAAGAATGGAACTACAGGGAAAAAAGGCAAAGTCCCTGAGGTCCATGGCCGCCAGGAGCTCTCTGGCAGGAAGAGGACAAACAAGTTGGTCCAAACTGAGGAGCAGTGTCCTCACGGGCCCATGACACACTCCCTGCAGAGCTCCCTGGATTGGGTGCCCTATAGTGTCTTCAGAGCATGGGCCTCCAGGGAGCTGTCCGGGGTCCTGGATTGCTTGGGTCTAAGTTCTGCTTTTGCTTAGAAGTCAGTTGTGGATGTCACCCACCTCTCCTGCCCACCAGCTGTCCAGACCCACAGCCACATGCCCTCAAGCATGGCCTGTGTCCCTCTGCACAGCCTGACTGACCAAGCCTCATTCAGTTTGGATCCTGCGTCCCTTTCCCCACTTTAAGTAGAGAACAAAGGAACAAAGGGTGTGCGTTTGTTCTTCCCTGCTGGTATAGGGAGAGAAATGAGGACGAAGTGCTCTAGTCACAATGTCTCCCAAGACTGGGAACACCTTATTGTTCTCTTTTTAGCCCAGCTAGGGCCCCAGATGTGTTCAGAACAGCTGTGGCCTATCATCAACCTACCGTGGAAAGCTCTGTATGCTGAGCCCACACAGGCCGAGTTGGCAGTGTCTATGACGTATACTGGGGCCCCAAACACATCTGCAAGCACCTGGGAAGGACACAGAGGTTGCACAGTGCTGAGTTACTCCTCAGAGTGAACAAGGACATTTTAGGGTGCATCTCCCAGGCTCTGCTTTCCTTCCTCATGTCTTCTGATCCCTTCTATTCCAACACTGTTACCTTAAAAGAAGGACACTTGGCCATGCTTCCCTTGTGATAAAAAGCAGCCTGAGCTGGGTAAATTTCCTAGTGAAGAGCCTTAGCTCTCTAGGCTGCCAATGTGCTTTTTTAACCATTTCATTATTTAGTTATTAATATTATTATTGTGTTTGCAGTGCTGGGGATTGAACCCAGGGCCTTGCACATGCTAGACAAGTGCTTTATCACTGAACTACACCCCCAACCCTTAGTTATTTTATCAAAGACAAGGAAGAAGATATAGAAAGTCTGCTCACTGAATGCCACTGACCTACATCTGGGGACAGATAGACATCAAACTCCTATTAATAAGCTCAAACTAACAAGGGCCTGTCTTAGGGGGAAATGATGAAGCTTTTCATTTCAGACCAAAAAATAAACTGCGTAAGTATAGAATGGGGGACTGGTACTAAGAAGAGTTCACACGGGTGGGTGTTCTTAATTGTGGTAGATGTCACTGTTGCCCAACTAGGACCACCTTTACGGAACCATGAGAATCCCCACCCAGCTGCTGTGAGTATTGGAGACTAATGACTCACGCACTTCCTCCTTATGAGAATTACTCTTGGCTGAACAGAGGTAACATCCACCCTTCCCCAGGGAAGTCAGTTGGTCCTCTTGCTCAATGCAGAACCAGCTCTGAACTTAATTCATGCTCTAGAGTTACAAGGCAACAGAGCTGGCTTCCTGGAGAGTGTGAGCCATGGGCTCCCTATTCCTGTAGGGGACATCCTTCCTGTTGAGTCTCTGGCTCTTTGATGTAATAGGCATGGAAGATGTCATGGTGGAGGGTCACTACCAGCACCTACCTGTAAGATGTCTCTATTATGAGATGCCCCTCCGGTAGCCAAAATCTTTGTCTTGGGCACTGCAAGAGAGAAAAAAAATGAAATGTCTTTGGCAATTTCCTCAAAACAGAAAGGCTGCTCTTTAGTTCTTCAGTCACAGAGGGCTTGTGTTGTAGAACCACCATGGAAAGGTCTAATTTAATAGGCAGAAAGATACTACCCAGAAATACAACCCTACCAATTCAGAGTAATATGCAAAGAAACAGAATAGAGTTAAAGACAGAGGAAAGAAAAATGTGTCAGGTTCAACTTGTTCTTTGTGTCAGCCCTGTAATCTTTCATTTATCCCTGAGCTCCAGCTCCTTGGAGACAGGTGTTTAGATGCTCTCTGAACATTCATTGCTACTGAAATGAGGTGATGTTGCTTCCAGTCCCTTTCAGTGGGCCTAGCTATGAAATACCAGAGTATATGTAAGTCTGTGTCTGTCTGTCTGTCTGTCTGTCTGTCTGCCTCTCTCTCTCTCTCTCTCTCAAAGGTCAAGGAGGTAGTTTGAAGGAATATCAGAACAGATAAAGTTGAAAACTACTGTCTTTTAAGAAATGAAACAATGAAAACAAATGTTATATGAATAAAGTTAACATCTAAACTTTTTAAATGCATAAATCAGAAAATAACACAGAATGGGAATAAACTCAGGTTTCAATGTGAAAATATAGAAAAGGAAAAAAAGAACTCAAATGAAGTAGAAGGAATTATTATTTTTTAGATTTTATTATTTTTTCTGGTGACAGGATTTCACTATGTTGCCAAGACTGGGCTCAAACTCCCAATCTTCCTGCCTAGATTTTAAGCGTGTGCCACTATGCCTGCCTGAGGAAGGAATCATAATTTTAAAGGTAAAAGTAGGGGTGGTTGCAGCTCAGTGATAGAGCACTTGCTTAGCATTCATGAGGCCTGGTTCCACCCCTAGCACTTCAAAAAGAAAAAAAAAAAAGATAAAACTGGAAATTAAGAAAAGAGAACACCAAACAAGAAATTGACATTGCTTAATAAAATACATAAACTTTTGCCTAATATATTGAAGGTTTAAAAAAAAATCCACAAGAATAAACTAGAGCAGAAACATGGTGTAGGCGATGGAATGAGATGGTGAAAGCCAAGGCCTTGACCCCCAGGTTCTGGAATGAAGCCTTTAGTACTAGAAGAAGCAGAGGCAGGAGTCAGAGACAGAGACAGCCCCAGGCATCAATTTACATTTTAAAGACACCCCTTGGCAGGCTAAAGAAGAGACCCAGAGACCAAGAACAGTGGGGAAGCAGAGGCAGCAGGCCTATGGTGCAATGAGGTGGCTTGCACTGCAGTTGTCTCACTGCAGAAGACAAAAAGGGGCAGGGCCAAAGGCATGGCTGGGCTTCTCTTTAGCTAACAGCCAAGGCTGGGTTCCTATTTGGGCAAAGTCCTGCGTGGACCCAGGAGAGGGAAGAATCTTCAAAGAGCTCTAGAATCTGAAAAGACACAGCAAGCCCTCTGTCCAGCTACATACAGGTGCAGATAGACAGTCCAGACTACAGAGATGACAACTGAGTGGAGGCCAGAACCAGGCCTCTCTGTGGATCGTGTGCAGTGCCAGGAGGCCCCCAACACTGCTGCAGACATATGCCATAGCAAAGGGAAGCTTAGTCCAGCTCTTCCAGGGACCAAGTCCCACAAAGCTACTCATACCCAACATGCCAATGGTCCCCTGACAAAAGGACTATCTTTCAAAGCTTAAAGATTTATTACATCCAGTTTCAGAAAGGCTGAGGGGAAAACAGTATAAATGGGATGTCAACCAACAATTCAGTTTGGACAGCAATTTGCCTATACTCATAACTCAACATTGCTTCCACCATCAGCCTTCCAGAAAAATTCAGACATACACACAAAGAATATGCACAGGAATGTGCACTGCAACATTCAGTAAAGAAAAAAAAAAAGGCAGCACCTTGATAAAATAATTTAGCAAATCTCATACTATAACAATGAAAAACAAAAAAGCATAGATTTGTGTGTACTGTTATAGACAGAATAAAACCTAACAGCAGAAATGTTAAAAAATAACACACAGCTGAGGTATAGTTCAAGAGGTAGAGTGCCTGCCTAGCAAGCACAAGGCCCTGAGTTCAACCCCTAGTACAGCAAAAAATAAGGAAATAAGTAATAAAAATAAATAAATAAACAAACCCATATACTATATATATATATTCTATATATATTTCCTATGATAGAATCATATGAAACCACCATTTTTGCAGGTCAAGACTGCTGGAAAATTAGCAATTCCATATAGTTCTGTAACAGGTACTTAGAAACTGCTTTTGCTAAAAGGCACTAACTCACAAGTTAACTAAAAGGATTAAACACCTGACATTCCTGCCTCCATTTTGCCTCTGTCTCCTTTGCTCTGAGCCTCTCTTTCCTACAGTCAGCCTGAATGCTGGGAATGGCAGGACTGATCCATATCATCTTTAAGACAAGGGACCAAAACTACTCATAGAACAGACCACTCCCCATATGAGGACAATTACCTATAATGATGAGGCTGTACCCTGGAGCAGGAGTAATCATCTCATAGGGACCAGATTGCAACCCTCAAGTGATGACAACAATAACAAACCTCTCTGGAATCCCCAGCAAAACCAGAACTGAGATAATGATCTGCCAGGCCATATTTACCTAGAACTGCATAATTGTAAGTACCTCTCACCCCTTGCCCTTGTTACCGAGTTTAAGTAACCCTAATGTTATAACGCTCAGGGCTGGGGCATGGCTCAAGTGGCAGGGTGCCTGCCTAGCAAACATGAGGCCCTGAATTGAAACTCAGTACTGGGGGGAAAAAAAAAAAAACACTAGGATGATCAATACATCTCCTATCATGTGCCTGCACCCATACCTGGGTGTGTATTACCCTTTCCATAGGCCCATGCCTTGTCTATGAGGCACGTCTGTCCTTTTGCTTGACCTCCTGGATAAATTTGTGTCTATCCCTTGTCTGTGTCTTAGCCTGAAATTCTTATTCCACAATCACAGGCAAGAATCTAAAGGGCTTTTGAAGATCCCTCTTTTTTCCTTCTTTTCAGGGGACCTCCTTAAGACTCTCTCACCGCTGCAGACAGTTCAACCTAAAATAAGGTTACAGGAAATAGTCTGGAAGGAAGGAATTGAGACTGGGAAGCACATGAAGGGAGGCATTTGGCTTTTATTCCCTATTTCTGTTTTGCATGAATCTTTCATAACAAAGAGACATTCATTTATTACGTTGAGTATTTAAAAATGAAATGTGTTTTAAAACCCTGCTGTTTTCCATCCAGCACCTTGACTCTGTCCAAGAGAAGGCATTTCCAAGCTTTCCCTATCTTTCCCCATCTTGATGATTAAGAAAGTACCTGGGAAGGCAGGCGCCAGTGGTTTACATCTATAATCTTAGCAACTGGGAGGCAGAGATCAGGAGGATCAAGGCTAAAGGCCAGCCTGTGCAAAAATGAGACCCTATCTCAAAAGTACCCAACACACACAACAACAACAAAAAAAGTGGGGGTCGGGGGCTGGTGGCGTAGGTGAAGCAGTAAATTGCCTGCCTAGCAAGTGTGAGACCCTGAATTCAAACGCCAATACCACCCCCTCCCCCCTAAAAAAGAAAGAACCTGGGAAGAGGGAAGGAATGCCAGCGTCCTAGGAAACAAAATGTATCTAGATGTTCTAGATTCCAGGCTGGAAACTTAAAAACACCGTTGAAGCTGACATAGCAAGTGACCTGGCCCTGATGTGTAGCACCACGAAGAGGTATCTGTATCTGACACATTTTGGAGTTTGTATGTGTCCTTCACATGTACAAGGGAAACAGGACATAAAAAAATAAACTCCTTATTGTGAAATATCCCTTATAGGCTCATGTACTGAAACCTAGGTTCCCAGCTGGCAGTCCTTATTTTAAGAGGTTCTGAGAACTTTCAGAGGTAGAGGAAGCAGATCACTGGTGTGGGTCGCCGGGGTGTCTTCTGTCTCGCTCTCTGTTTCATGTCTGCAGTGAGGTGAAGATGCTCCTCCACCACAAGCTCCCACTGCCATGATGTTCTGCCCAACAGCCTGGGGCCCAGCAACCACAGACTGAAATGTTGGGCCAAAATAAATTCTTCCCCTTAAGTTGTTTAGGTATTTGGGTCACAGTGACAAAAAGCTAACTAATACACCCCTGAAGGGGACTGGAGGAAAATGTCACCAAATGGCACAAGTAACTTTATTTTTTGAACTTGCTATTACAAAGTTTTATTGCTCTGTTCATTTATTTTGGAGTCAGGGTCTCACTTTGTAGCCCAGGCTGACCTCAAACTCCCGATCTTCCTGCCTTAGCCTCCCAATTGCTGGGATTACAGGTGTGCACCACCACATGTTCTTAAGGAAAATAGCCAGATGGCTTTATTGCTTTTACAAGAAACTGAAACAAAATGAAATATAAGGCTGCAGGTGTGGCTCAAGTGATAAGAGTGCCTGCCTAGCAAGCACAAAGCTGTAAGTTCAAACTCCAGTGTCACCAAAAAAAGAAAATGAAATACACAGAAATACAAGCCAAAATTCAAAACAAAACGAACATGGTTTATGAGGTCAATCTCGCTGGGAACCTGCTTCTGATGATGTGCATAAACATTAAGGGAGTGACTATTCCTTAGAGAGGATCAGCACAGTGGTTAAGAATCCAGAGTCTGGTGTAAGACTAGCTTGGTTCAGACTCTGACTCTGATATCCTTGGGGAAGTTGCTTAACTGCCGAGATTCATAAATAGGTGGGTAGAAGACCAGTCTGACCTCAAAGAAACTGTTAATGAGGATAAGGTGCTAAGGAACCAAGCCAAGCACACACAGTAGGTGTTCAACAAATGCTAGCAGCTATTATTATCACAACTATCATTCTTACCCAAAGTGCCTCTTTATTCTTAGACACTATTAAAACTGTTTTTTTTTTTTTTTGAGGGCAGGGGAGACTGGGGTTTGAACTCAGGGCTTAAGAAGGCACTCTATTGCTTAGGCCCCACCTCCAGTCTATTTTGCTCTGGTTATTTTGGAGATGGGGTCTCTCGAGCTATTTGCCTGGGCTGGCCTCAAGACTCAATCCTCTTGATCTCAGCCTCCCAAGGATTACAGGCATGAGCCACAAGCACCTAGCTTAGAAACTGTTAAACTGAATGAGGAGCTAGGTGTGGTGGGTCCCACCTATAATCCTAGCTACTCCAGAGGCAAAGATAAGGACGATCACAATTTGAAGCCAGCCCCAGGCAAATGGTTCTCAAGATCATATCTTGAAAATATCCAACACAAAAAAGGGCTGGAGAGTGGCTCAAGTGGTAGATTGCCTACCAGCACACATGTAGATCTGAGTTCAAACCCCAATCCCATAAAAAAAAAAATGAATGAAGGCTGAGGGCATGGCTCACATGGTAAAGCCCTTGCTATAACCACAGTACTGAAAAAACAAACAAAAACAACTTGAATGAGATGACAACTGACCAAGAACAAAACTTGAGCTGGCTATGCACATAGCATCCTGGAGAATGATGCTTCATGGGTGTTGTGACCCTTTCTGTTTCCAAGCACATTCATTTATGAGATCTTGTTTGAGAGCTAGGGATGTAGCTGAGTACTTGACTAGCATGCACGAGGCTCTGGAATTAATCCCCATCACTGCAAGAAAGATCTTTTTTTTTTTTTTTTTGAGAGGAACCCAGCAGAGTTCACAAGACAAGTCTGATTCCGCTTTTAGGCTTAGTAAGAGGGTAAGTTATTATGCTGTTTTGTATAAGAAGTCAGGAAATGCTTGTTTTAATAATCACATTAGCCCATCCTGAGCCTATGGCCAACTTCTATGCCCTGCCTCTTCCTGCACCCTGGGCTGTTAGGAATGGCCTTCCCTCCCCAAATGTCACATCTTAGCAGGCCAAGGACTCCTGCCAGGTACTCAGCACCAACTTCTCTGCACCACTCACCCAATCTCATTTCTCAGGGAATTCTAAAGGCTTTGGAGACCTGTGGGGAATTTCTTTCTATACTTTCAGGGGAATGGCAATGCATATATCCTACTCCTTTTGTTTAAGATTTATATTGACCTAGAACATGTGTCCTGAAAAATGTACACATCACAAGCCTATATAGCATGATAAATCTTCATAAACTAAACACATCCTTGTAACATGACAAAGAACATCACCAGCACTCTCAGACCCCCTCTCAGGCCTCCTTCTGAAAGGTAATCACTAATTATTCTGACTTCCAACAATAGCCAACAGTTTGTCTGTTTTGAGCTTTATATAACAGGAACATGCCACTGTACTTTTATGTTTGGCTTCCTCTGCTCAATGTTACATTTGTAAGAGTCACCCATTTTGTTGGGTGCAATTGAGGCTGGTTCATTTTCATGTCTGTGTGGCATCTGTCATTATACCACAATAACATTTATCCTGTCTGCTATTGACAGGCACCAGATTGCTTCCATTGTGGAGCTATTAAGCACAGACCACAATGAATGTTCTCATGTGAACACATGTATACATTTCCGCTGTGTATTTAAGCAGAAGTAAGACTGCTGGCAAGCTATATTTTCAGCTTCAATAGATGGTGTCTAACAGGTTTTCCAAGATATTTACCCCATGCTTATTTTTATAGTGTCCTTTCACATGGTTGGTTCAAAGATGTAATAAAATATACCCTATGTAGAATGTGAACTACCTATTTAAAAGGCTATTTAAGGGCACCTCAGGCAAAGAAGCGTCACACATTTTCAACCTTTGCCAGTGACAATAGCTGCTGCTGAGAGGGACAAATACATCTCAGAAGCTGGACTCTAGGATTGGCTGATCCAGCCTCCTTGCAGACCCCAGAGTAGTCCAACACAATCAGTAGAACCACTGGTCTCCTGGAGCTACATGTTCCATAGCTCAAGTTCTCAGGAATCCCTTTTTCTTCCTATTTGCCTCCCACTGTGTCTTGGTCTGTGCCCTCTCTGTGTCAGTACTCTGAGTTGAGACAGTGGTGCTGCATCTTCACTCTTCCCAGTCTAGTCATGGCCCCAGACCACTGCCCTCTCTCTCTGCCCATAACCTCAGGGTCCAGAGTTCAGAATGTTTACTCTGTGGCTAAGAGCTCAGGGTTACAGGAAGACCTCTCTCAAGTCCTATAACTTCTAGCCAAGAGATCAGGTGATGGGGGCAGAGCTGAAAATTAGACACCCTCCCTCCCCTTCCACACCTGCCCACAGGTGCCAAGTTGACTTACTTTCTTGCCCCACCACCAGGACCAAGCTCCATCTTCTGCCTGCCCCAAGTTCCCTGTACTACAACCTTAAGACACTGCCCCCTAGCTTGGGCTCTTAACCCAGAATACACCCTGCCAGCCGCTCACTTACTGACTCGATAGCCAAGGCCTTCTGCATGAATCCTCTTGGCCATGAATTGTCCTTCAATCAATGCTCGAATCTCCACATCCCTGGGGAATGCCGAGACCTGTCTCCAGAAGATAGGCACAGAGTGAGGAAGTCTCGTTGTTCGTTTCTGTGTGTGAGTGATCTTTTTCCACAACAGCCCATATCTGGAACTCAGAGCTATCACACATACTCTCAAACATGTCAGTCATAACCACAAATTTACAGCCTCATTTTTACTACTTTGCAGGGGAGGAGGAAAGGTTTAGAGGGATAATGGCACTCAGTCTCAAGCAGCCGAGGGTTCAAGTTCTAACTTTAATATTCAGGTCTATGACACTGACTACATTGCTGAGCGATATTATCTTCCTTAACAAAACAGAAGTAATAGCAGCACCTATTTTTTAAGGTTGTCATAATGACCAAATTAGATGACAGAGCCTGGAATATAGAGTTGATACTTGATAAGTGACAGCCACGAGCCTATGCTGAGAACTCACTGCTATGAGGTGTCCTTCAAGCTACCACTGATAGGTGTCACCCCCCAGGAAGGCCCTGCTTCTCCAGTACCTAAAATCAAGGCTAGTACCTGCTACTCCAGTAGCAGCTCCTATGCGCTAACCTTTTTATCTACTTGCAGGTAGGTAAATTATTTCCTCACCTGGAAGCCTGTCCCATGCTTCCCATGGTGAGATCCTTCCCATCCTTCTTCAGGTGTCAGCCAAAGGCCCTTTCTCTGAGAGGTCCACATTGGTCATCCCACTTAGACAAGACCCCCGCCCATATACTATTCCTTCCTATAGCACTTGGTTCTCTCCTTTCCCAGCCATATCACACTGTTGTCCCATATGGGTTCATTCACTTGCTTTCTGTCCATCTTCCTCTGGAGTCTGGGCTCCACAGAGCAGGGACCACTTGTGTCTTGCTCTCCTTTGTGTCCCAGTGCCTGATACCAATCATATCTATCTACTGAGGGAATGAATAAATGAAGAACACTACCTTCTCCCTGATAAACCTAGACTGATATACATAAAAAAGAGCAGATCTCTCTCCAGACTGAAACCTAACTGACTTCATCTGAGAACCAAAATGAACTCCCTACACTTCATCCAAAATGTTCTATTTAAACCCTATATATGCAATGCCACCACTAACCATCTAATGCAAGGCCAACCTGACTGCTACAGTGACCAGACAGAGCATCTTGCAGAAGCTCCCTAACATTCACTGGGGTTCACAAACATCTCTCAGTTCAAACCAAAATGTGGTGACAACTCTGTAATAACTTTTAGAAAGTCAAATTCCAAGCCCAAGAATTGACTGGATCTCCTGGGAAGGGCCATGTGGTGTAAGAGTAAAAGAACAACAGCTACGAGCCAGAGAAGATTGGGGTTTGAGCCTGCTCTGCCACTTGTGATATTATGACTTTGGGCAAGACATTAAGTCTGAGCCTTAATTTCTCCATCTGTAAAAGGGGCTAATCATGCCTACCTTGCAGGATTGCTTTGAGAAGCAAATAAAGAAAAGCAATGAGCAGAAAGCCATGAGCCCAGTGCCTGGTACCAAACAGCGTTCAATAAATGCCAGTGTCTCCTGGTCCCAGAGGCTCTTTCCACCAGCAAGAAACTCTTGACCTCAAGGTCTGAGAGATGTTGTTAGATGCAAGCATCAAGGAATAAACTCTGTGATACACAGGAAGCAGACATTAGCTCCTGGAGAAAGGAAGGCATCTTAGACCCTGCTGACTCCCCAGCCCCTAGAATGAACCCTGGCATATTCAAAGTGTTTGTTTCACCAGTGGATGAGTGAAGTCCCTAAAAGCAGGATAATTTGATAGGCAACTGTTAAATGCTCAATGCAGTCAATATATCTCCAATACCAAAAACATACGTACCTCATGGCTTTCTGGATTAAATCTATGATGCCCAATAATCTCAGGGGTAATCTCCATAACATCAAAATAAAAGCCTGAAACAAAACCAGGAAGATATTAGCTGTCAGGTGTCAAAAACAAAGAACAGCTTCTCTGCAGACTGAGAAAAGAGCAAAGTGAAGTTACTTACATCTGTTTCCCAGGCCTCCTATCATCCCCCCAGAGAAGCCCTGTGAATAGACTCATTTCTTTCTCTCCAACAGGACACAAGGGACCTGGAAAGGCTTGGGCCAGATTTTCTTAGAGGCAACTCTTCCTACTCCACAGGCATGGAAGCAGTTGCTCTACCAATCCTAAAATATCAACCCAGGTCTGCTCAGGCCCGTCTGGTGCTGGGTACTTTTCCTAACAAAACCTTGTGTCTGGGGCAGAAAGTTGTGCATAAGGAAGCATCAGGATAGAGGAGATATTATTGCTGCCATCTCTGATGCTGTCACCAGGGGCTTCGAGGAGATAGAAGATACAGCTCTGACCTGACTTTCTACTTGGTACCTGGATCAACAGCCAAGAGCAGCCTCATGGCCGCACCCTGGGTCAGAACATGGGCTCCCACACCAGCTTGTGAGGCTTGTGGAGTAGAAGTATAGACAGACACCCCTCCCTTCTTCATGGTCCTCCTTTCCCCAGTTCATGTTAACCCAGGCCCTTCCCCTCTAGCAGGCAGTCATTGCCCCTTCACAGGTCCAGGCATCACTAAACAACCTACCCAGGTTTCCACCATTCCCCATCTCTGTGGATCGCAGGGCCTTAGAGAACTCACTCCAGGAACGGGAAGCAGACACATCGCGGATCTTCTCTCTCATTAGGGAGCCATTTTTAAAGCTGCAGAAGTGTACACGACTCTAAGCACTGTACCTGTGGTTTGGCAGTGCTGGTGACCAAACTTAGGGCTTTGCACATATTAGGCAAGCACTCTGCCACTGAGCTACATCCCAGCCTGGACCCATCAGTTTTGAAAGAGTCCCAGACAGAGGGGCTGCAGATCACACTAGACCATAGCCCCATGGGGTAGCCCACAGCCTGCATGGGGAACCTGAACCTCAGGTATCTGAGGCTCCCCCAGTCAGGTTCCAGGCCCCACATGCATCCTGGGACGCACTGGAATTGCACTTGGGTTGGGCTCTGTTTATGCCACAGGCTGCCACAAAGAAGGCCAAGAGCTGGGGTTTCTGCACATTTTACCATTTGTATAACGGGGTGGGGATGGCTAGATTGCTAGATATACAAATTCCTCAGTGGTTCTCTGGACAAAAAAGCTCAGGAGTCTTCTCTCTAGATAGCTTCTAATGGGTCTCCAAAGGCCTGTTATCAGAATACAGAACCTTCTGTGCCTTCTGTGAACTGCCGGAATTAGGAAGTTCCTTGGATTATTAAGAATTTACCACCACAACCCAGATGTCACAACAACATAAAGTGAACTCTTACTCCCCAATTTTATGAGGAAGGTATGGTTCAGCTATGCCATGGGGTGTGCCCAACACCACATAGGATACAGGTGGTATGGTTGGAATTTGAACCCGGGTTTTGGGGGACTCCAGGTCTTGGGTTATACAGCTCTGCTGTCAGTAAGAACCAAGGGCTCTTCCTCTATGAGGCAGTTTACTAGAATGACTTGAAGTACTCAAGATGGTGCCAAACTTGCCTGTACCCTCTTCACCCATCTAGGGAATTGTGCTAACCCACAGCAGGCTTACCACAGGAGTGCCATGTAATGCTGGGGGTCAACTGGGTTGCAAAAGATGTGGCCTTCCAGAGCAGGTGTGGGCTCCTGGAGCCACAGGAATAGGGTGTCACTGGTGCCCAGGCTCACCTGGACAGAGAAGAGTAGAGGTGCCGTGGGCTTGTCTACAAATCTTCTTCCTTGACAGCAATGCACTCTGCATTTTCCCTTTGACCTCATCACTTCACCCTCACCTCAGAGATATGTCTTCTGATCCTCCCATACTAGATAAGTGTCATAAGTCAGCTCCTCAAATTCAGGATCTCATGGACCCCATTACTGACTTTCCTCATCAAAAATAATGGTTCCAGGGGCTGGAATGATTGACCCATTAGATGCAAAAGCAGAGGTTATGTCTTCCTACTCACCTGGGGAGCTCTCAGCCCTGTGGTCCCATGTCCGAACCCTCTGTACTGCACCCATTAGACTTTCCACTGTCAAGCAGGCAGGGGTCCTGCACTCTCAGCACAGGGCAATGACTTCTAAGGAGATAGGGGCCTCCATTCCCTTTTGGGACCATCAGACACTCTGGTAGCAAAAATGCTGCTGAGACCCAGCACCCTGGTCCCCTAGGGCATAAAGAACCTATGGGTGTGAGAAGGCACCTTACCGCAATGTCACCTTCCTCCAGCCTCATGCCTGCCAGTGATGCTGAGAATGGGAGGGGAGCCTCTGGTTAGCTGGAGCCACATGGGGATCACAAAGCAAATCACAGTGCCCTCCAGACAGTAGCACAGCCCCCATCTCCCACCTCACCCAATAGAAGCATAGCAAGCTGAGTGCTCAGGACACTCAAGAGAAGGTCACAGGGTCAGAGGGTGGCGTCTGTGGTCAAGGCCTCTGACTTGGACTGGGAAGTCTCTTCCTTACCATTTCTTTTCTACCTTGACCCCATCCTGGATGGGTGACCCCATCACTTCACTCACAAGAGGGTAGAGAAGGGGTTTAAGCTCTCTGCCAGAGTTGGGCATTCCAAGGAGTGCAGACAACCAAGAGAGAGCCAGGACAAGAATGCACATTGTGGGGAAAGATGAAGACTAGGCAGGAGTATGAAGGGCTTTCCTTGTCCAGCCAGTAGGGAAAGGAAGGGGCTAAGGTTATGAATCTGTCCTCCACCTCAGACTCAAGGCCCCCAGCAGTAATCCTTATTTGCCCTGTTCACTGATAAAGAAAGAAAGCCTGGTACTCAGCAGATGCTCACTAAACATTAAGTAAATGAACAAATGAGTAAAGGAGAAATGGGAAAGAAGCAGACACATTCGATCTCTGCCAGTGATTCAGTCAGCAGTGGCTAGCACAAGCCTCGGATCCAGGAATCCCACTCAGAATTCCGGAAGTGACCAATGGACAAGACAGGATGGGGACTGTTAAGTGCGGGCATGGCGCTTGCACTGAGTAGAATAAGGACTGAACAGCTGAGCTCAAAACAACCAGTAAAGTGAGACTGCCCAAGCTTAGTCAGAGGAACAATGCTTATTCACAAACACAGGAAGAAGACTGACAGGAGAGCATCACAAGCTTAACTCTCATTTGGTGGTTCCTTAGGAAAATGGCTGCTTTCCCTGGGGTAAGGCTGAGGGCAGCAGTCAGTGTGCTACTCTGGACAGTCCACCTGGCCTTTCTGCAGACATTAGAGGGCCTCAGGAGCCCCTGCAGGAGGAGAGGCTGGGAAGAAGCCAAAGTGTCTAGAGGAAAAACAGATAATATTTGCAGACTCAAAAACATGTCCTGAAGGAAGGGTTGGAGGAGTTGAGGTATTAGCTTAGAACAGAAAAGAGGTTGGTTGCCTTCTTTATCACCCATTGGCTTTTACCTAGAGAGTAGATGCCAGGCAGAGTGGTTCCTGAGGGTGGTCAGGGCCAAGTAGGAGCAGAAAGAAAAGGGGACATCACAAAAAGGGCTTTACCAAGAAGCTGGATTGGAATTCTCGAAAGTCCAGCATGAGCAACATCAGTCCACTTGGAGACAAAAGTCCTCCAAGACACTCACCTGGGTTGTCCCCAGTGAAGGCCACCACTTTGCAACCAGGAGGAAATCCATACCGCTGGACATAGTAGGAAGAAATGGCTCCCTGAGGGGAAAAAGTAATTGTTGAGGAAATTCCAGCCTGCTCAGCGCAGCCTTGCAGACCTCAAGCTGTGGGCATGCTCCAGGCTGTCCAGGTCAGTGGAATGGAAGGGATCTTCCACACAGCAGCCCATGGGGATGCCCCCGGCTCCAGGCCACTGGAGCTGAAGGAACCTTTGGCAGAGCCTGAATGTGGACCTCTCCCTGCTGCACACCAGGCAATCCCTCCTGTTCAGGTTTGGAACCCTAAACTTGAGACCACCCTAAAGACCATTTGACACGGAGACTCAGGGCAGCTAGAACAAAACAACTCCCACTTTGTACCTACTTTGTCAGCTCTAAACTCTGCAGATAGCATTGGAGAAAAAAGTAACAGGATATCATTAAATAAACTCAAATGTGTAAATAACGCCTTACACACTTGTTATCATTCCAGTGATTAAGAATAATCAGACATGCAAGTGCAGAGAACAATGTTCTAAAAATAAACCAGACTAGGGGTGGGGCTCAAGTGGCAGAGCACTTGCCTAGCAAGAACAAGGCCCTGAGTTCAATCCCCAGTACTGCCAAAAAAAACAGAAAGAAAGAAATGGCAGTGTGGAGGAAAAGGACCTATTTGGGCATCACAGGCCTCCCCCGCACCCCTCCAGGAGAGGATGTGGGATCAGAGCACAGGACTCCTCACCCCCCAACATATTTCTGACTTATTTACTTTTCTATTATGACTTATTTATTTTTGTGTGGTACTGGTGTTTTGAACTCAAGGTCTTGTTATTGCTAGGCAAGTGCTCTACCACTTGAGCTACTCCCACTTTTTTCTTAAGTTTTCGTGTTTGTTTGTTTTGTTTTTTAAAAACAGGATCTTTCATTTTTGCCCAGGAATCAAGATCCTCTGATCTCTGCCGCCTGAATAGCTAGGATTGACATTATAGGCATGCACTTCTATGACTGGCCTCATATCCTTTAGAAAGCAGTTCTAAAAAGAAAACTTTTTTCCTTTTCCCTGACTGCATCTGACTTCTGAAAACTCAAAATAAATGATAGGATTTCCTGGTATCTGGGAGTAAATTTTTGCTCCAGTCAGAAAAAGTTTAGATTTTTATAGAACAAGTCATCCCCTAGGTTGCTTCAGAAACCAGAGACTGAGACAGGGCTGGTAGGCAGTTGGTATATTTCAGGAAGCGATCCCAGGAGACAGGAGTGGAAAACTGGGAAGGATAAGCAGGGAAGGAGGGCAAGCCAGCCCAAGGGTGCCTTGATGAGCTGAGCTGGTCATGGCTGGGCAACTGGGGCTCAAGTCACAGAGGATCCTCTGAGAGAGGGGACTGGATAAGGACTGTCCACCTGAGGACAGGAGAGGGAAGTAGTTATCCACCCCAGGCTCCCTCACCCGTCGGGTGACAGGTGACCTCCAGGTTCAAAGAATACAAACACGGAGTCTGAGAAGCTCCACCATAGAAAGTAAGGAGATGCAGCTCAGGCAAGTAGCTGCCAGGTGACCCCTGCACAAAGCCATAATGGCTGGCTTCTCCCCCATCTTGTGGTGCATAGGTGACCAATGAAAATGCACTTTTTCAGGACCAGTTCTTTCCAGTTCTTCCACAGCTTGTCTCTGTACAGGCTCCTTCTTGGAGGCAAGCACTCTTGGTGGAAGGCAAACAAAGCCTGCTAACCTGAACAAAGCATTGCTCAATTTCGCATGAAGCCAAAGACCACACATGGAATGAATACCCATCTCAGGAGGCGTGGCTGTTTTGTTTGCCCTTCTGCTTTTTGACTTGCAGGTCCTTGTATTCGGGTTTTGTACTGTCAGCTTCTCTGGGCAGATCATTCTTCCTTTGGCTCTGTGCACTGACCTCATGATGTCATGAGGTGGTTTGTATGATGGTGGTTTGGCCTTGAAACTCATGGCAGCAAAGGGAGGTTTCAGCATCTGCAGTGAAAAATCTTATAAGAAAAGTGCTGGGCTGGAGGGCACAGGCACTAAGGCAAGGCTGGGACCAGACCTTGTCCTGGATCTGCAACAAATTCATTCCAGAACCTGAAGAAGGAAAGAAACAAAAAATAAAAGTCTGGAAAAAGGACCTTTTGTGAAAATATACAAAACTGGCAGAGAGCAAACTCTGCAGCAAACTTCTACCTGGGACTCTTTCTTCAAAGGAGATAGGTAATATGCTGCATCATCCTTGACCCAAGGACCCAGAGAGAGGGCCCTTGAAGCACATGGAGCCCTCCCAGACTGTATACTCCATAGGTAGCTGGAAATCCGCTGTAAGACTGCCAGGAATGTGCTGACTGGACTCTCTCTGCATGACCCTTGGGTTTCAAGGCATCTACTCATAGGCAGCACTGGTGCTGATATGGATCAGCCACGGGGATTTCCCAATCTCCAAGGAAAAGCTTGAAAAGTTCCAGATTCTTACAAACATCCTTGTGCTAGTCACTGAGATTGGTTCACTACGTCTTTCTTAAAACAGTCTACTTTTCCAGAGCTTCTCAGAGGATGGAAAGGCCAGAGAGCCCAGAGCACAGTGAGGGACCTCCCCCTCTGTTGGACCAAGGAGGCCAAGGGCTGAATGAAGGTGTCATGTGCTCTGGAGAGGGTAGACAGCTGGTGTGTTATGAAGAGTGCTTTCAGCAACTTCGTCCTGCCTTCCCTCCTTGCTGCCATCACTTTCTTTTTTTTTGTCAAAGTTTTTTTCCTTTGTTTTTTTTTTTCTTTTTTTGAGAGAGGGTCTCACTCGGTAGCCCTGGCTGATCTCAAACTTATATCCTCCTGTCTCAGCCCCTGAGCATTATAGGTATTACAGGTGTGCACCACACCTGTCTTTTGTCAGTTTGTTTGTTTTTTTGTGTGTGTGTGGGACTGGGGATTGAACTCATGGCTTCATGCTTGTAAAGCAGATGCTCTACTGCTTGAGCCACACCTTCAGTCGCTTTTGTTCTGGTTACTTTGAAGATGGGGTCTCATGAAGTATTTGTCGAGTTGGCCTCAAACCTCGATCCTCACAAATAGTTAGGATTACAGGCGTGAAGCCACCAGCACCTAGCTTTGTCAGAGTTTTGATGCTAAAAGTTCACAAGTCTTATGAGTTTGCCAAACATGAACAAAAGCTTCAATAAGTAGCCCTTTGTAGTAGTTGGGCTCTAAGATAGTCCCTGCTTTCTGATGTTCATACCTTGGGAGGTTCTTCCCAACACTGTACTGGGTCAGTCAGTGTGACCAGAAGGATGATCCAAGATTAGTGTATAAGACTCTGCAGCTTCTTCTTCATCTCTTCTCACTGCCTTACTCCCTCCCCACAATGGCATTAATACCCCTACAGAGAGGTCCAGACAGTTGGTCTCCTGCCAACAGTCACATGCAGGATCCTCCAGCCCCAGTCGAGTCTTCAGTTGGCTACAGCCCTGACAGCCAACTTGCCTGCCACCCAGGTAGAGATTCTGAGCAAGCACCACTCAGATCACTCATTCCACATTTCTGACTCTAAGATGTATTGTGAGCACATAAATATATACAGCCTTCAGCTGCAAAGTGTGGGGTCATTTGTACACAGTAAAAGATAACTAATGTACTTCTGGGCAAATGATGAGAGAGCTGCAAGAGTGGCCCCTACTCAGGTGATGGAGCTCTCACTGCCCACTTGGCCAAATTCCCTCCACATGTGGAGCAAGCACCAGCCCTACACTCTGAAGACTCACCATCACTTAGTCAATGGGGAGTAACAGCCAAGGAACAAGGAGGCAGCAAAGCTACTGACCAAAGAAATTCTCTGCAAAAACAAACAGAGATGATTCACCCCACAGCCTAAGCTACCAAACACTACACCACACACACACATACACCACACACACACACACATATACATATACACATACACACACACACATATAAACCCACACACACCCACACACATACACATACACACACACACACATACATGCACATATACACGTATACATACACAGATACACACACAGACACACACACCATGAATAGAGCTTTATTTTTTGTTAATTTTACTTTTTTGGGGGCTGCTTCAAACCTCAATCCTCCCAATCTCAGTCTTTTAGGTAGCTAGGATTATAGGCGTGAGCCACCAGTGCCTGATCAGAGAGCTTTAAACTAGGGAGGAAAGAAGAAACTTGAGCAAAATTTGGGGAGTTTTTCATTCCTCAATGGCTTATGCTGCAGAGTAATCTGGAACTTTGCATCTTTAAATAATAACCTGCACATTGATTTCCAAGATTAGAAAGGCACTTTGGTTTAACATGAGCTGGTCATTTTCTTACTACTAGATGGAAATCACTGGAGCTACTTCTCAGGATATTTTAAGTGCTAAGTGAGTTTGGGATCCTGTGACATAGTCTCTGGTTGAAAGGCTGCAGCTGCCCTTATCTAGTTCCAAAGACAAGCCCACCATGCCAACTGTCTAGTAGCCATCACATCATCCACAAAGGACAGAGCCCAGAGCACACTCATATCATGACCTATAATCGCCACTCAGGAAAACACCAGCCTCCACCACTCCCACCCTGACCCTGACCCTCAACCCTCAGGTCATGAGAGTCCCTGATTTCTCTTTCCCAAAATTCTATTCCTCTCTCCTCTTTGGAAACAGTTACGAAATTAACCCAATCATTAAGCAATGCATAACTGTATACAATTTGGTTTTTTTCTCATTGTCAGACTGCTTCCAAAGACCAGAGAGGGAATGGGCTACATAGCAAGACCCTGTTTCAAAAAAGAAAAAAAAAATTCAGCGTATTTATGCAAGCATATTGTTCCATGGCTATAAACCTGTCAGCGTATTACTGAACTGAATACTGTAGGCAACTGTAAAACAGTCGTATTTTGTGTACCTTAACATATCTAAACATAGAAAATATACAGATAATTTTTTGCTTTTATATACTTATATGAGCAATTTTGATATCTTCAGGAAAAACCAGCACTAGAAACCCAAAAAAAAAAGAAAAAGAAATACTCATATAGTAGCACAGTAGGTTTACTTTTACCAGTATCATGAGTAATACCCCATATGACATCAGGACACCTATGATGCCCTTAGGCAACAGGAATTGGGTTCAGCTCCACTATATTCCCCTCCCTCTCTCCTTCCCTCCCTCCTTTTTTTGTTAGCGCTGGAACCAGGACCAGCACGTGCTAGGCAAGTGCTCTACTACTGAGCTGCACCTTCACCCCATCTCCCTATAATCTTTTTATTTTTAAGATAGGTTGGCCTTGAGCTTGCAATCTTCCTGCCTCAGACTCCCAAGCACTGGGATTACAGATGTGTACCACCATGCCCAGCTCCACTATATATTATTATTTGCAATTTTGGGGGAACTCAGGGCCTTGAGTGTGCTAGTTAAGCACTCTACCACTTAGCTACCTTCCCAGCAGACCCCACTACAATCTTACGGGATCATAGTTGTTGACTGAAACACTGCCATACAGCACATGACTGTATATCACATTCTTTTTTTTTCTTCCTGGTGCTGATGATGGAAACCAGGGCCTCTTCCACTGAGCTGTACCCTACCCCGTGTATCACTTTTTAATGCCTATCTCATCAAAGGTCTTAGCCAATGCACACAAGATGTGTTTATGCTAAAGGTAAGAATTAAAAAGCAATTCAACTGTGACTTTCAATCAAATATAAACATTGAACCAACCTCCGTGTGTGAGTAGGCCTGGGGGTTCTGCTGGTGAATCTTTGCAATTTGGTTTCCTGTGAAACGCTGGAAAGAAGAGTGCAAATTCTTAGAAACCCAAATGCTACACAAAATGAATAATCAAGTCTATAAGTGAATTTATCGTAGCATGCTCCAGGAATTAGGTGATACAACAACAGTTTTTATAAGGTCCCCAAATCTAGAAATGCTTAAGATCTGCTGAACATTCAAGGCAACGTGTTTTGACCCTTGACTCCTTAAAATGTCCTTGGCAGGCAATATAAACAGTTGTTCTGCACCTAAAGAATACAGAAGAAACTTCTGAGACTTCCCAGGAGGGCCTCTTGTGCCAGGACTGGAAATGCCTTTTACAAGAAACCCTTGTCTTTACATAGTCTGATGACTGTTCTGAGCAAGGCACCAGAGCTGGGGGACTGAGGAACTCTCCCCACCCACTCTGTCTTATGTCAGGTGGTCTATGCAGGGCTGGCCCTACCTCCAAAAGCTATACTTTGGTGGGGGTCATGTAACTGAAGCTGGCCAATCACAGCCACCCTTGGGACTGTGGCTGAGTAGCCTGGCACTGCATTAAGAGTCTTAGATGCTCTGACTCTTTTCAGTTTCAAAAGTCCCATTGTTATTCTCAGGTTATAGCTTGAAACTGAGGTGGCCTCATCACCCCCACACAGAAGCTCAACGCGGGAGCCTAGCCATGCTTATGTAGTTCTGACCTGGGACCACATGGAGAAGTTTGCCCTTCACTGACAAGCACCCAAGGAGGTAGGTAGCTGAATCAGGACCCATGGCCAGCGTGCCCAGTTCTGGCACATGTGACCTTCCCAGAGGCTGGTTGCTCACCACATCCTTCCAGACGCCCAGGGGAAGAGACCAGCCCTAGTCCCCAGCCCACACAGGTGGCTGCCCACCTCATAGGCACGGGACCTGTGAGGCAGCTGAGAGAGCCTGGCCCCACCCACAGCAGCTTCCAGTTGGCGGCACTGGATTGTGGTGCTGGAGTCCATCCACACTGGGCAGTCACTGATGGAGAAACAGGTCTGGAAAGAAGGGACAAAGGTACAGGCTACAGCTAAGTCCAATGGGGAGCCACTGCTGGCAGTCAGACAGCCCATCACAGCAGGTGCAGCATTCTTCCCAGGGTGCACCCTAGGCGGTCCCAAGGCAAGCCCTCAGCCTGGCCCAATGCGGTCTCTCCCCGGAAGCCTGAGGGTAAAAAGCTCTTCTGGTGAGGGTGCCTGAGTCCAACAGACAGCACTACAGATGAGCAGAGATGGGGACAGCAGCAAAGTGCAGGTTTGGCAGGGATTGGGGAACCCAGGAGATAAAGGCAAGTCAGAGCCCCTGCCTTCCCAATCACTATGGGGCTTCAGGTACCAAGGGAGGTTCCTGGGGGTGGGGTTGGGGGTATGGTCCACAGTCATTCTGAGAAGGGACTAATGATGAGGATCACTAGTGCCTGACCCTTTGTCCAGACACCAGGGAACTCCATCTTAGGGAAGCAACGCACACCGTGCTGACGGAACCTCTCACACCCTCAACAATGCATAAAAACCCCAGACTTCAGGACCCACAGGACTTGCACCCATGACTCTTCTGCCTCCTCTGCAGAAGTTTTTCTAACTCACAAAACATGGCCACAGTTACCTGTAGCTGCTGGTATAGCGGGAGGTCTGGTGACAGGCTTGTCAGTGCCAGATTGGCCCCAGTCTTCCAATATATGCTTCCGTGTTGCTGTAGAGGGTAAAATCAAGCACATGTTCATGTGCCACACTGGTGTCATATCATCCTGACACACAGAAAAACCCTGGGCCACAAGCCAAAGAGCCGGGCACTAAGCCTGCCCCTGCCACCTCTTAATCACAGACCTCATCACCTTTATAAGGCTTGGTTTTCATTTCTATCAAATGGGGAGGAAAACTTGTTCAAGAAAGTTTTCTTGGTCTGGATCTTGGTGCCTTTTGTCAATCTGTATTTATTGCTTGCAATATCAACTGAAATTCACTCACCCCATTCATTCATTCAAAAAACATTTACTAAGCACCTAGATGGTGCTTAGTAATACCAGAAGGGTATTACTGACTATTTTTCAGGACAAGGGAGTTAAGTCAGGGAAAAAGATATGAACATACAATCACAAAATGTTGAAGAGCTGCAGTGACAGACTGTGGGAACACAGGAGACTGAACCAGCGGAATCTTAAGAACCATTTCAAGAGTCTTTTGCGAGGAGGCCAGTTGTATGACCCCAAGGTCAAACAGCTGAAGGCATTTTCACTACCAAATCAACATGTGCTCCTCAGCATGATCCCCACTACTGAGACACCCACTCTCAGGAGGTGAGCAGGGGCTCTGCTGCAGACAAACCTGGCCTGCCCCGGACAAGGCTAGGACTTGAGAGAAGTCAAAGCCAGAAGCCTTCATCTTCTCCAAGATGACATCCAGCGCCTGAGAAGAACAGAATCCACCATGACTGGCCTGAACCGCTGAATGAGGTAAGCCACAAGTCTCAATGTGGAAATGCACATGCCTGCTGTGACAGTAAGGACTGTGGGCAGATGAGGACGGTCCTGTCAACAGGATCTGTATGTACTGGTATACGCTAATTAAACAAGTAGACATCAATTAAATAAAAAGATCAACTATGCTAAAAATACTTTCAATATGGGATTTAAATTCACTAATCCTCAAATGTTGCTTCTCTGAATTGTGACTTCCAAGTACTTAGGAAGAACAAAAACAAAAGCAGTTAAAATTCTGCTTTCTTTTAGTTGCATTTTCAACACACCATATTAATGATTCAACTGGACTGCAACAGAGAAAAGAAGAGCAAGCAGAATTATCCAAGTAGAGTTCCAGGCCCAGCTCCCTGTGTCCAGGAGCCCAGGTTGAAGGAGTGGATGGAGATGGTGGCCATTTGTCTCAAGTTCCCATTCCATCCTCTATTATCTAGTCAGAAGCTTCTTTCTGCAAGACCCATGGGTGGATTGATGGGAGTACCTAGCAGAGCTTGCTTGGCACTGCCTCTAAGAATTCATGGTAGGAATTAGAACTTCACCCCAGCTGTGTCTCCTCTGAGGGATAGACATCATTCCAGCTTTTGCCCGACTCCACCATCCCAACCTATGCTGAGATCACTCCTTCCAGCCCCAACTGTGCTGCCAGCTTCCCTGCTTGTCAGACCTTGGGCAGCAATTGGCAAAGTCTAGAACAGGTCCAGCCTTGGAGGCTGCTTGAGATCAGAAATCACCGTGGTTGCACACTCAAGCCTGGATGTCTCACTCCCTGCTTGCTTTCCCAAATGAAGGCCATGCCCTATCAGATTTTTTAACTTCATCTCTGCGACCTCTTGACAATGACCCTTGCTTCTAACCCCTTATTACCTCCCTTGGTCTGCTCAGCACTTTGAAGTACATTCCACCAGTCTATGGTTGAAATCCAGTCTTTACCCCAATCCTCCATGTATAAGTCACAGAAAGTCAAGAAAAAATAAATCATGCTAATTATTTTAACAGAAAGAATTTAACACAGAGCCAGGTACTATAGAGCTCACACCTATAATCCTAGCTACTCAGGAAGCAGAGATCAGGAGGATTGCGTTTCAAAGACACCCCTGGGCAAAGAGTTTGAGAAAGCCTATCCCAAAAATACCCAACACAAAAAACAGGGCTGGGAGAGTGGCTCAAGGGTAGTGTACCTGCCTAGCAAGTATGTCGAAAGAAAAAATAGTAATAATACAGGAGTGATAAATAGGTATTGGAGGACTGAGAAAGGCTTTTAACAGATATACTAAGTGCTGCCTTTGGCTAGCTTCCAGCTCCAGGGACTCTAACCCCTGTGACATATGAGGAAGTTCCACTCCTATCATGCCCATCTGTGCTGACCACATCCCTGGCCCTATAGTTTGTTGGGCATCTTCCTTTCTTATTAGTCCTAATTAGGCAGGCCTGGCTTGGGACTGATCCGAGCCTGGTAACTCACCATTCTGAGTGCCCATACCCTGGGCTGAGGGTCCCAAGAGCTGACAACTAAGACTCCAAGGGCTGTGTTTGGAATTCAAGGTCCCACAAGGACCTGACTGCAGAGTGTCTGGAAAGCCTGGCTCTGTGGCATTTTAAAGATGGAACTGGCAGTACATGCCAGCCATCATGTTTCCAGTACCTGCAAGCCCTTTGTGAATCCTCTCAACCTGAGGACTGATACCAGCTGACACTCGTCTGTCCCCAAAACCACAGAGACTCCCTTATCTGTGAGGATCTGGTCTCAGCAGCTGCCATCTTGGGGCTTCCTAGCAAATCACCAAATTTACCAGTGACACAGGCTAGGGAGAGAAGGAAGGGATCCACATGCTTACCTGGACCCACATCAGGACTGGAGAGGTGATGGTCAGCCTGTCCTCATGCACATGAACACCACCTTGAGTCCTGCAGAGAGAGCAGGAGAAAGTGTGGCAGGGCACACCTCTGCTGTGGTAGCACAGGCTGGAGCCTCCTCTGAAGAAGAACCTCCCCCCAGCCTTGGGTAGGGGCTGTGGAATGACCAGGCATGAGTGCTGCTATGATGGTAAGATGGAAAGAGAAGGCACAGAATGGCTCAGAGTGGTCCAAAAGGGGCAATTCTCAGCAAGTCTTCTAGGAGAAGAGGGCTCAGCCTGAAGGCAGGATTGATGTCACCAGGTGCAGGGGCCATGAAGGAACTGGAGAAGTGTGGAACTGGGCTCAAATCCACCTGAAGCCCCATGGGCTTGGAGAAGTACAGAACCAATAGCTACATAGAGGTGTTGTGTCTACAGGAAGAAATTCTCACCCATCAAAGCAGCCCAGGGAGTCCTTGAACTACAAATCCTGGAAGGTTCCAGAGCCGTCATACTTATCCTCCTCACCCCAGAAGACCCCCCTGGAAAGTGCTGACTTGATAAAACCCAACCATTGCCAGGCACCAGCAGCTCACGCCTGTAATCCTAGCTACTCAGGAGGCAGAGATCAGGAGGATCATGGTTCAAAGCCAGCCCGGGGAAATACTTATTGAGATCCTACCTTGAAAAAACCCAACACAAAAAAAAGGGCTGGTGGAGTGGCTCAAGTACCGAAAAACAAAAAACAGAAAGATCTTATCTACTGTCATGGAAATGGAAATGTAGCCAGGTTATTGTGAAGTGAATAAAGCAAAAAAAAAAAAAAAAAACCACAATGGTGTGTACAGTGTGCTTTTCATATTTGGAGGTAAATAAAAGTATTCATAGCTGCTTAAACTTCTAAATAGAAACACTAAGAAGGATATACATGTACTAAAGAAGTAATCTGTAGAGGAGAGCAGGACAGGGAGATGAAGTCACAGATAGGATTAAGATTTTTCACTGAGGCTGTGAGTGTGGTGGTTCATAGTTCCATGCCAGTCCAGGCAAAAAGTTCAAGAGACCCCACCTAAGAATAGCTGGGTGTGGTGGTGTGTGCCTGTTATTCCAACTACTTGAGGAAGCACAGTCCATGCCATCCTGGACATAAAGTAAGCCTTTATCTCAAAATAACACATACACAACAAAAAAAAAAAAACAGTATCAGTCAGATGTTGCTGGGGGTTAGGGAATGCAGAAGGAGGAATGGATTACAAAGAGGTGTGAGGAAATTTTTTTTTTGGTGGGACTAGGATTTGAATTCAGGGCTTCTCACTTGCAAAGTAGGCATTCTACCACTTGAGCCACACCTCCTCCATTTTGCTCTGGTTATTTTGGAGATGGGGGGCGTCTCACAAACTATGTCTCTAGGCTGGCCTGAAACTGTTGCTCTTCCAGGTCTCAGCCTCTCAGGTAGCTAGGATTACAGTATGAGCCACAAGGCACTAATTTTTATGGGATGATGATATGATTTTGCTGATAGTTTTGTGGAAAAATATATATGTCAAAACTTATCAAAACGTATACTTATTTTGTTTTGATTTTGATGCAGGGTCTTGCTATGTAGCCCAGGCTGGCCTTGAACTTTCAATCCTCCTACCTCAGTCTTCCAAGTGCTGGGATTATAACCATACACCACCATGCCCAGCAAAATGTATATTTTGTTGTACATCAATTGCACTTTAATAATGTTATAAAAAAATCACAACAAAATGAGGGGCAAGGAAGAAATGAATATGTTATGCTATGCCCACACTCTACCATGAGCTATTCCCCAGTCACTATGAGATTCTTTTATTAATACCAGTCTCCCAGTCTCAGGGAGACTGAGAAAGGAAGATCACCAGTTTGAGGCCACACTGAGCTACATGAGTTCCAGGCCAGCTTGGGTCACACAGTGAGACCATGTCTCAAAAAAACCAACCAAACAAACAAACAAACAACAAAAAAGGAAGTATCAGTCTCCCCTACCCAACAGGAAGCTCTGGGAGAACGAGAACCACCCTCTCTTGGTTAAGCACACAACACATAGTTTATTAAATCTTGGGATTTAATCTCCATTGTGAGGTAGAGAGGGAACTTCATCTGCCACTGGTATCGAGAGGAGAGGCCTTTGGGAGGTAATTAGACTTAGATACAGTCCACAGGGTTGAGCCCCCATGATTGAAAACGGGCGGCTTTAAAAGGAGGGAGAGGTGGAGGCTGTAGCAGTGGCAGAGCGAGTGCTTAGCCCGTGCAAGGCCTTGAGTTTGATCCAGCACAAAAAGAAAACAAAGAGGGCTAACAGAGAAGACACACGCACCCACAAACGCACACTGGCAGCGTGCGCATGCACACGCACACTGCTACCTCCCATCATGTGCCCTTTGCTACCTCAGGATTCTGAAAGCAAGAAAGCCTACCGCCAGATGTGGACCCTAGACCTTTGGCCAGAACCATAAGCCAAAATAAACTTTTTCCCTTTATAACTTACCCACTCTGTGGTACTATGTTACTAACAACAGAAAACAGACTAATATAGAGGGTGGGTGAAAGGAGAGGGGAGGGGTGGTGTATTTGATTGAAGTACTTCATACACAGGCATGAAAATAGAACAATGAAACCTGTTAAAAATTGTTTTCCAAAAGGGGGGAGGGAGATAAGAATAATAGAGGGGGTGAATGTGATCACAGAGCACAGTGTATACAAGTTTGGAAATATCAAAGTGAAACCCCGTTTACAATTAATATACACTAAGACAGGGAGGGAGGGAAGGAGAGAGGGAGAGAGAGGAGTAATACAATCATCGAATTCTAGCACCCAGCACAGCGCTGTTACATAGCAGATTATCAAATGTATAAATAAATGTGTGAATGCATGAACAGAATTGGGAAGGAATGGTAGAAAAAGCATTCCAGGTATAGAAAAAAAAAAATGTTCAGAGCAGCTGGGTACTGACTGGTACGGTAATCCTAGCTATTCAGGAGGCAGAGATCGAGGTTTGAAGCTAGCCCTAGGCAAGCAGTTCTTGAGACCCTAATCTAGAAAAAAACCCTCACAAAAAAGGGTTGGCAGAGTGGCTCAAGCAGTAAGAGTGTCTGCTTAGCAAGCACGAGGCCCAGAATTCGAACTCCAATGTTGCAAAAATAAATAAAAGTTCAGATGTCAGAGGTCTACCTGAACATAGAGGTCTACCACCCCTGTACTTTGGCAAAGCTAAAACAGCGTAGTTTATCAATGTGAAAGGTTTGGGGAGTATCCCAAAACCACCAGGATGGCAGTAGTCCTCCCCCGCCACACATGCCCACCAGGTACATACCCAAATTCTGGAAGGTCTCTGTCAAAATGCACACTGTCCTCATAGAAGACATTTAGCCCTTCATCAACAGCAACAACTTTCACCTGGAGAGAAAGCATTTCTAAAAATGGTGGGTAGGTGAATGGAGGGTGTGGTTCAAGTGGTACAGCATCTGCAAGGGTGAGGCCCTGAGTTCAAATCGCAGTATGGTGTATAGAATTTTTCCTCAGTTTCTGCACTGGCCCAGGAGGTACCAATCACCACGCAAGGTTCAGCCTAGGTGAGGCCTAGAGACCTCCTTAAAGGTTAGTGTGCGCCACTGTAACCATGGCAACAGAAGCCTCATCTGTGGACATACTCATAGATTTAGTATGAAGAGCTGAAACACCCATGTTTCTTTTGGGGGAAGCGATTCTGGGGTTTGAACTCATGGCCTCAATGCTTTCTAGGCAGGTGCTGTACCCCTTGAGCCATTCCACCTGCAGAAACACGCATGTTACTGGGAATCATTCCTCCCCAAGGTCAAAACCAAGGCCTTCTAGAGTTGTAACAATCACCGTGGAACTGATCCCTGCGCCTGGCAATATCTTCAGGAAGTCCTAAGGCAAGGAATGGAAGGCAAGGCTTGGAGCCAGCTTGGGGGGTGGGAAGGGAGGTCGCTGTCTGCGAGGGTCTGAGAGACTAAGCAAGGCCAAGTATGGGTTGTTCCCAAAGGCCATGATCATGGTCTAGCGACACATGACGTCCCAATGAAGCTAATCTCCAAGCGCAGTTCCGTTCCTGGACAGCTGGGGAATCTGAGGTCTGGCGAGGCAGCACGAATTGTTGGAGTTCCCCCTTGACCCATTTGAGAGGGGCTTCACTGCAACTTATTTCCCAAGTCCTTGTAAGGAGGAAGTCACCCCCACCCCAGGCAGCGCAGTCCTGGGTCCGCAGCCCAGGCACACTGGTGCCAACCCAGGGCGGTCACAGGGAGGTAAAGTCCATGTGTACACTGAGCGGTTCCAAGCCGTGATCCGGCTCCGGGTCGCGACCCGCTGCGCGTGTGCGCCAGTCTGTGGCTCCACTGCGCTACCAGGGTCTTCGGGCTCGGCCCCCGAGGCCCAGGACTGCGCGTGAACCGCTCCGGGACGCTTCCGCTGCGCCCGCGGGATCCCGCCGGGGGGCGCCCGCGTTCCGGGAAGGGCCGGGGTCCGGGACGCAGCTCGCGCCCCGCGGCCACACACCGGGAGGGGGCGCCGCGGCGGCGGGAAGCCCAAGTGCGAGGGCGCCCGCGGCTCGGCCAGGGGCCCAGCGACGGTACCTGCTGCGTGCTGAAGTCCCAGCCCAGGCAGCAGCGGCGAGCGGCGTGTCCCGCCATGGCCCTGGAAGCACGTCTGTCCGTCCGTCCCGCGGCGTGACTGTCGCCGCGCTCCGACGCCCGGGCCCGCCCCTTGCCCCGCCCGACCGGACTCCGGACCCGAGTCACGAGGCGGGCTGGCGCTCTGGCGCCGCCTGCCGGCTGATGAGGGAGGACTGCGAGTGACCCGGGCAACGGGTGGTTACCCCCAGCGCCGGCGGGGTGCCACCGTCTGCGGCTGCTCTCTGCACAGCCCGCCTCACGCCTCACGTCTGGGCCAGAGGTTTCAACTTTAAGTCAACTTGTCCCTGACAGTTCTGGACCTCGAAGCTTCCAGAATTGTCTCTTGGGTACTGGAGATGCTTGTCCACCCATGGTGGTGGCTCAGGGGTCACAAGGAAATGTGTCCTGGAGTAGGAGTCCAGACCTAGCAAATCTGATTGGTTCCAAGTGTGTCACATCTCTTCTGTGGATAACATCAGAACTCATGACGCCCCCACCACGGGGCTCATTCATTCCTGCAGTTAACTAGTGTTGATGATCTAATGTGTGCCCAGCATGGAAAAAGGGTACAAGAACCAAAATCGGACCCACTCCCTTTCTTCATAGAACTAATGGCACCATCTCCCCAGCTGCATCCTTCTCCTCCCCAGAACTGACATCCTTCTAGAACTTGCTGCAACAACCACCTACCTATGTGAAGTCCTGCCCAACCCACCAGACCCTCTCACACGTACAATGGTCTGATCACCTGTCTCTGTTCCCTTGCTGAACTCCATTTGCTTGGAGCCCAGATCGGATCTTCCTCCTTGCTGGAACAAGAAGGTGCCAAAGTACCTGTCTTTCAAGACATTCACTGCTTATTTGGGACACAGTCCCTCAAGCAGTCACCACTGACTGGGAGAGTAGTCAAATATTAGATATCTGCCAGGAGCAACTATGTGACCTCCTGAGCACATTTAATCCTTACAATGATGCTGGGAGGAAGATACTATTAACTCCATTAAAAAAGTCTATGTTAAAGTATAAATTACAGTAAAGTTTATGAAGTACACTACTTTTAACTGCTTGATGGTATTTTACTTATTTATTTTGGCAGTACTGGGGTTTGAACTCAGTGCCTTGTGCTTCGATGGTCTTTAAAAATTGTGTAAGAGGCAAAGAGTGGGGCTCAAGTGGTAGAGCCTCTGCCTAGCAAGCATGAGGCCCTGAGTCCAAACCCAAGTACCAGCACCATCCCCACACACAAAATACCTGTATTAGAGCCTGGCATAGTGGTACATGCCTGTCAGGAGATTGAGGCAGGAGGATTAAGAGTTCGAGGCCAGCTTGGGCTACATATTGAAACCCTGTCTCAATAAAACAACAAAAATATATTCATAGCCAAGTGCAGTGGTATGTACCTGTAGTCTCAGCTACTTAGGAGCCTGAGGCAGAAGGATTACTGACTCCTGGAGTTCAAGGCCAGCCTGGGCAACATAGTGAGAAACTAAAAAATAAACAAGCTGGGTATAGTGGTGTATGCTTATAATCGCAGCTACACAAGAGGTGCAAGTAGGAGGGTGAAGGTCTGAGTTTGTTCTGGGCAAAGTGTACAAGACCACTTCTGAAAAATAACTAAAACAAAAGAGGGCTGGGAGTATGGCTCAAGTGGTAGAGCTCCTGTCTAGCAAGCACAAGGCCATGAATTCAAACCACCATTTCCCCCTTCCCTCCAAAAGTAGTGTATGCACCCATATAAATACCACTGAAAGCAAGGTATAGAATATTTTTATCACTCAAGAAATTTCCTTAATGACCTTTCTCAGTCAATAACTCCCAAGGTAATTGCTATTCTAATGTCCACCAACATTAGACTCATTTCAAACTCTTGATAAATTATCAGCCTCATTTTACAGAATGAGAAATTGAGACATAAACAAGTTAGTTAACCTGGCCCATGGTCCCAAGATCAGAGGCAGAGCTGGGCCTACAGCCATGAACTCTGACTCCAGAATCCCGTGTTTAACCACTAAATGAGATGATTATGACGCAGGGATTCAATGGGCAGCCTGTGAGAAGGCCATGGCAGTATGCTTGAATGCCTCCTGAAGGCCAAGGCTGCTGGCTTTCCCCATCTTGTCCTTTCCCTTTCTAGTCACTTGTCCCTTTTGATAATAGACCTTTCACTGTGGCTGCAGGAAAAACTGGAGGTCAGAGAGTCCACTTGCCTATATATAAAGAGATCTGACTCATTATCAAAGAATGAAGACAGATATTTTAGTTCAAAGTTGTCAGTGCCTCTCAATCTGCATTCCCTGTTAGTTCTGAAAAAACACACCAATTAGCAGAGGAGTTTCAGGGAAGCCCTCTGGTGGTGCTGGCTAGCTGGATTCCTATGGCCTGAGGTTGGTTGGTCTTTTGCTAATTGTGCTCCAAGCTTGGGCTTTGCTTATGCTCTGAACTTGAAACTCACCTCCCTGCACAGGGCTTCTTAAGGACTTCCTGCACTAACTTGCTTACAAAGCAGAAGCTGCCAGGAGGTGTCATGGTGACCAGATTGCTGTCCATCTCCAACAAGACTCTGGTGAAGCAGTCCACAGAGATGGAGATCTTGATTAGATGCACTGTGCAGAAAATGGGAGCAGTAAGGAGGGAAAAAAATTGTAGGATGTGATCAAAGGAGACCTGAGCTGGGGCAGAAGTGCTGAAGATGGAGAGAAAAAATGGACTGGAGTAAGGAAGATCTGGGTGTGGAGAGCAGATTATGAGAAGCCTATGAGAACTGGACACAAATAAGGTGAGATGCAGCTCAGCTGCTTTTCCTAAGATGTTTATCTGTAGGCTGAGATTGGCACAGCCCCGTCCACAGAAGAGGAGAATGCAGAACAGCTGCTTCTCCTAAGTTGTTTATGTTCGGAGAAACAAGAATGCAGGTTTCTCCTGCTACAATGTCACACCCCTCCCTGAGAACCAAGAACTGCTACTCCACCCTGTTTACCACTGGGTATAAAAGACCCACTGAAGGAGGGCTCAGGGCTTTTGCTTTTGCTTTGAGGCTTTTAGCTTTTTGGTGTGGGAGGCTTTTGGAAGGGAAAAGAATTGCTGAAGGGAAAGGGAACTGCCAAAGGGGAATTGCTAAAGAGGAGTTGGTAGAGGAGTAAGGTCTTTAAGAATATACATAGGCTTTAGAAAAGCTAAGCTAAAGAAAAGAGGTTTTAAAGAATAGTGAAGCAAGGATTTTTATTTTTTTCAGGATTTTCCATGTTTTTATTCATAGATTTTTTGACAGAGTATGCCTTTTACCTTGTCACTTTTTTATTGCTTTATTTTTTTCTTTTCTTTTTTTTTAAATATGTTTATTCAAATGTGCATCCATTGTTTGGTCCATTTCTCCCCCCTACCCCCCACCCCTTCCCTCTCCCCAAGAAGGTATTAAAGAAGACTCTAGAAGCAAGGTTTTAAAGAACTGTAAAGGAGTAAGGCCTTAAAGAATAAAGATAGAGAAAAGAAGCACAGTAAATGAAGAGAATAATAGAGAAAAGAAGCAATGAGGGTTGTGTGTCTCCACCCGAGCACCCAACACGCCTGATCCCACTTTCTATCTGTCTGTCTATCCTGTGTCCTTTCTGCATCTCCCATCACTGCCCAGTTAACCCCAGTTAGGTTCAGTAATAACCAGGAGCAAGAGAAAATGCTTGCTGCAACAAGGGAGTGAGAGAAAAAGCTTGTTCCTTCTGAGGACCCTGTGTACTGGAAGAGGGAGGGGTCAGAGATAATGCCCAAGTTCCTGGTTTAGGCAATTTGGTTGGTTAAGTATTGAAACATGACAAAACATCCCCAACTCAGTGGCTTACTCTGAGTTGGTGTTTACACCAGGCTGGTGACCCTTTCAGGATCAAGCGATCCTCCTGCCTCTCACTTCCTGTGTAGCTGGGACTACAGACATATGCCACTGTGCCTGGCTGAAATAGTAATCTTTTATTGTCACTCACAGGTCAGCAGATCAAGTGAGGGTCAGCACATATATGATAAACTCAGTTGGGGGTGACTCTTTTGTATGCTTCTTGTCCTCCTGGAACCTGCAGGACGTAATGAGCATGCTCACTGAGAGCAGCAGAACATAAAAGTGGATGGGCAACCACGTGAGGCCTCTGAAGGTCAGACTCAGAACTGGCCTATTGCACTTCTGCCTCTATGTCGCTGGTCAAAGTCCTGTGCCTAGCCCAATGTCAAGTGGTGGGTGAAACCACAGCAAGGATGTGACTGCAAGGAGGGATGAAAACTTGAGCCAACAGGGCTGCAGGTATGGCTCCAGTGGTAGAGTGGTAGAGTGCCTGCCCTGAGTTCAAATCCCAGTACTGAAAACAAAAATGAGCCAACAATGCAATCTACCACAGGCCACTACCAGATGAAGAGTGAGTGGTTCTGTTCTCTTAGTTGGAGACATGGGAGGAGACCCAACCTGGGAGAGGAAGAGGAGTTGGTGTTCAGTCAGGACATGGTGGGTTTGAGGTCCATGTGAAGTGTCTGAGTGGAGTTGTTGAGCAGGCCAGGCCATTGGCTATGTGCCCCCCAGCTCAAAAAAGAGATATGATTTGAAAACAATGATTTGGGAGCTAATAGCTCCCAATGGGAGTGGGTTAGATGTGCAAAAAGACTCAGAAGAGAACAGATGGAGACCCCCCCAAGAGAAATATGAAGAATAAGTTAAATTCACAGGAAGGGATCAGGAGAGTCATGTGGTAGGAGCCAGAAGAAGAACATTCCTGGGAAATGGGGCTTTTGACAAGTTACATGCCACCTAGAAACCTGTCCCTAAGTTCAGCAGTGAAGAGCCATGCCACTAGCCACGCATGTGATGAACACCTGTAATTTCAGCACTTGGGAATCTGATGCAGGGGGATTGAAAGTTTGAGAATATGGGCTGGGGATATTGATTAGTGGTAGAGTAATTGCCTAGCATATGTAAGGCCCTGGGTTAAATCCCCACCACCACAAGGGAAAAAATAAAATTTAAAAAAAAAAAAGAGGGCTGGGGCATGGCTCAAGTGGTACAGCACCTG